CCCCCCCCAAAAAAATTCATCATGTTGGATTCAAAAAAAAAAAAAAGATGCGACCGTCGACCGGAAGCCTGAGATGTGGGGGCGATCCGGCATGCCAGCCAGATCCTCTTGAAGGAATCCGTGTGAGCCATCCCAAAGGTTTGCGCGATGAGGTAAAGGTAACGATTGCAATCTGCAAAACCGGTTGCCGAGCGGATGACGCCGAAAGAATGCTAAGCAGCTATTGATTGAGATCTGGGGAGCGAGTTCCTTGGCATTCCAGCCTCCCGAAATCATTTGTTATCGTTCCTTTGGGAGGGCTGACCGTCCCCGGCTGGCACGCTTCCCACTCGTTCTCCTCCTGCGTTCTCGGCCTCGGCTGCGAACATCCTGTGGCGAGGAGTTCCCCAGGTTAATTGCAGGGGCCCTCATTTGAAAAGCATTTCCTTTCCGTCAGCCAGGGATGAGCCGCCGAGGTGATGTCAGTCTGGCTTGGGGGTGGGAAAGGTGGATTGTATTTTATTTTTTGTTTTATTTTATTTTTTTTAAAAAAAGCAAAAGGGGCAGAAAACCAGCGTAGAAGGCAGGAAGATTGTAAAAGGCGGGAAAATAAGAATAGAGGCTTACACTAAACGGTTCATTTAGTGACCATTCAGAGTTAACAACGGCTCTGGAAAAAAGGGACACTTGGCCACTGATTCACATTTACGACGGTCGCAGAGTCCCCGGGGGGGGGAGTCACACAATCCCCTTTTGTGACCTCCAGACAAGCAAAATCGATAGGGAAGCTGGATTCACTTAACAACGGGGTAATTCACAACAGCTTGCAGGGATCCACTTAACAACAGTCGCAAGAATATTCGTCAAATCGGGCACTGAATGAATGTTTCGCTTAGCAACGTCAATAGTGGGCTCAACGGTGGCCGTAACTCCAATTGGGCTGTCATGCAACGGTTGTAAGCGTGAGGACCAGTCACGCGAGAGTCGTACGATCGAGCCCGACTCGCTTAACGGCCGTTTTCATCCTCATTGTGGTTCTAAATCGAAGATGAACAGCAAACGGCAACCTTAAGGGAAGCCAGCTTCACTTAACGACCCGATTCATTTAACAACCGCGGGGCAAAAAAAGTAAAATAAAATCATAACATCGGCCGCCACTCGCTTCTTAAAACCGCCGCCTCGCTTCCAATGGAAATTCTGGCGGTCGTAACTCGAGGATCTCCGGGGATTTAATTTGACTCAGCCCGGAGATCATCTCCCAGCGGATTATCTGATCTCCCCGAGGCGTTTTTCCACGATCTCATCGTTGAGGTCACCCCGATAAAGCGGATTACCACCGGGCACCCCAAAACAAAAAAAAATCCTCGTGTGCCTGAATCAGGCCGCCTGATTCACACGGACCAGATTTCGTCCGCTGTTTTCTAGGTTAGCCAAGTCAAATCTCGAAACGAAATACACACACACACAAAAAGAGGCACCTCGCTTTCCAAGTTTTGGAATGCAACTTTTGCCGGCGGGTGTGCGATCTTGCAAAACTTATCCCGCTCCAAGTTTCTGCCGGCATCTCTGAGTCATGCTCCTTTATTTTTGTTTTGTTTTTTTGTTTAGATCCGAAAGCAAAACCCGGGCGACGGTACCAGGACATAACAGACAGGTGACAGAAGCTCGTCAAGAGATTTTTGGGAGAGAATTAAGTTTCCTGTTTCTGATAGAGGGTTAATTACGGGCTTGGCGGATTCCGAGCGTGGCGAGCTCATCATCCAGGTGGAAGGTTTTTGAAAAAAAAAAAAACCAGCTGTCATTTTTCTGGTTTTATCTGGAGAGGAAGTTGGGTTGATTTGGGCCAAGGAGGCAGTTCTGAAAATAAGACTGCAGTTTCTTAAAATCGGATGCCATTTCTTAAAATCAGATGCATTAAAATCGGATGCAATTTCTTAAAATCGGATGCCATTTCTTAAAATTGGATGCATTAAAATCGGATGCCATTTCTTAAAATCAGATGCATTAAAATCGGATGTAATTTCTTAAAATCGGATGCCATTTCTTAAAATCGGATGCATTAAAATCGGATGCAATTTCTTAAAATCGGATGCATTAAAATCGGATGCAATTTCTTAAAATCGGATGCCATTTCTTAAAATCAGATACATTAAAATCGGATGCAATTTCTTAAAATCAGATGTATATCTTAAAAATCGGATGCAATTTCTTAAAATTGGATGTATATCTTAAAAATCGGATGCAATTTCTTAAAATCAGATGTATATCTTAAAAATCGGATGCAATTTCTTAAAATCGGATGTATATCTTAAAAATCGGATGCAATTTCTTAAAATCAGATGTATATCTTAAAAATCGGATGCCATTTCTTAAAATCGGATGTATATTTTAAAAATCAGATGCAATTTCTTAAAACCGGATGCAATGTCTTAAGATCGGATGCGTTTTTTAAAAACCAGGTGCATTTCTTAAAATCAGGTGCATTTTCTAAAATTGGAGACACTTCCTAAGTATGCCAGTGGTTGTCTATTGCCTATTTTTAATATAAATTAACGGGGGAAAATGTTCTTTGTTCATTGGGAGGGGGCAATAGTCCAAAACAGCTGGGTTTGGAGAAAGGAGGAACAAACCACTGGCTATTGCTATCCTGGGAATAATTAAATTCGCACATTGGAATCCTTCGTTCATTCAAATAGCGTTCTGTCCTGTCCATAGATGGACTTCAACTCCCAGAATTCCCCAGCCAGCATGGGTGAATTTCAACTCCCAGGATTCCCCCTGTCAATATGAGTGGATCCATAGATGCTTTTTCAAGAGGCAACTGGACTCCGTTTATAGACGTTCGACAACACGAGTGGACTTCAACTCCCAGACGCCAGCATGGGTGAACGTCAACTCCCAGAATCCCCCCCGTCAACATAGCTGGACTTCAACTCCCAGAATTCTGTAGCCAGCGTGGGTGAATTTCGACTCCCAGAATCCCCCTGCCAACACAGATGGACTTCAACTCCCAGAATTCCCCTGCCAACATGGGTGAACTTCAACATCTGGAGTTCTGCCAACTTAGGTGGACTTCAGTTCCCAGAATTCCCCAGCCAGCATGTGTGAATTTCGACTCCCAGGATTCCCCCTGTCAATATGAGTGGATCCATAGGGTGCTTTTTCAAGAGGCAACTGGACTCCGTTTAGAGATGTTCGACAACACGAGTGGACTTCAACTCCCAGAATTCCCCAGCCAACGTAGCTGGACTTCAACTCCCAGAATTCCCCAGCCAACGTAGCTGGACTTCAACTCCCAGAATTCCCCAGCCAACGTAGCTGGACTTCAACTCCCAGAATCCCCCCGTCAACATAACCAGACTTCAACTCCCAGAATTCCCAAGCCAGCACGAGTGAACTTCCAACTTCTGGAGTTCTCCTGCCAACATGGGTGAACTTCAGTTCCCAGAAGTTACCATCAACCAGGCTCCTGGGCTTGAAGAGATGGGCTATTCTGATTTTAATCTTCGTGGAATATGGCATATATATGATATACCATAAACATAATAAATACAGAATAACCTGTACAGAATTTTTATTTTTATTTTTTTATTTTTGGCTTTTATTTCATCCATGATACAGGAAAAAAAAAAAGGAAAAAAAAAGAGATGACAAACGACAGAGGCAGATCGGGGATGATGGTTGTGAGATTACGATTTAAGGTGGATCTCCCAATTCTCGGTGGATCAGTTGGCTTTGCAAATTGGATCTGCAGCTGGATCACATCTGCAGAAAGGTCCATGCAACCTTTCCCCCAACAAACATTTCTGGATTGTCTTGTCCACTGCCCTCAAACCCTACAAATAACCCAGGTTGATAGGTTCAGGATAACAAAATGGGAAGGGACCTCAGAGGTCTTCTAGTCCAACCCCCTTCTCAAGGTTTAGCATTTAACGCAGATGGTTGTCCACTCTCTTCTTAAAAACCTCCAGTGTTGGAGCACCCACAACTTCTGGTGGCAAGCAGTTCCACTGGTTACTTGTTCTCGCTGTCAGGAAATGTCTCCTTAGTTCTAAGAGAAGAACAGAGTTGGAAGGGACCTTGGTGGTCTTCTAGTCCAGCCCTCTGCTCAAGCAGAAATCCCTACACGGTAGGGCCTACACCATTCCAGATAAATGGCTGCCCAATCACTTCTTAAAAGCCCCCAGCGATGGAGCACTCACAACTTCTAGTGGCAAGCAGTTCCACTGACCGTTTTCACCGTCAGGAAATTCCTCCTGAATTCCAGATTGCTTCTCTCCTTGGTTAGTTTCCATCCGTTGCTTCTCATCCTGCCTTCAGGTTTTTTGGAGAATAACTTGACCTCCTCTTCTTTGGGGCAGCCCCCCCAAATATTGGAAGACTGCTATCATGTCAACCCCCCCCCAAGAATTGGTGCTTCAGACCGCCAACTCCTAATAATTCCTCCCTGGCGACAGCGGGAAATCCAGTTTTTCAACAGCAGGGGTGCAGAAGCCCCGAGGGTATTTCAAAATATTCTCCACTGGGATTGAAGGAAGGAGATTTACCCATCTGGACATCCCCTTTTAACAAGATGGCAGATTTGGAAGGGACCCTTGGAGGTCTGCTAGTCCAGCCCTGCTCAAGCAGGAAACCAAAAGAGAATCTAGAAATAACTAGATTGAGACTGGGGATGATGGGTGTGTGTGTTGAGGACAAACATGCCTGGGCTTCAGGGACTCAGGGAGAGGCGATTACATCAGAGGAGTAGACTAGATGATCTTTGCGGGACCCTCCGAATGTCCAATTCTGCGATTCTGAATTTCTCCCAACTGCTGTAGTAGTTACCCTACTTCCCAAGAGGCACCTAAACCAGGATTTCTGTTTTTAAGATGCTTCTATTCATGTGGTTTCTTGGTTTTATTTTTACTCTTTTTTTTTCGTGTGTCAAAATTCTGGGGTTTTAAATTTTACTTTCAAGGAAAGGGGGAAAAAATAGATTTTTAAGAACGCGCAAGGAATAAAGAAACCAACTAGCGAAATCCGAGTTTTAAATTCAATTTATCACATTCCGGTTTTGGCAGCGATATATAAAATTCTATGTGCAACTTTTTTTTGGTAATATATTTATATATATATATATATATATACTTTATATATATTTAACAGAATGTTTAAGGCATTTTTGAGGTACACATTTGAAAATGAAAGGTTTCAGGGGTTTTCGAAGCAAAATTCTCAGCCGCTATATTAAAAAAAAAAAAAAATGTGGAGAATTGGAGATTTAAATAGTCCCAGAATGAAACACTGCCAACATCAGAGCTGAAAATTAAAAATATTCTCGATCCGGAGAATCGTTTATGATTTTTTTTTCAGAGCTCGGCTTAAAAAAACAAAGCTTCAAATTGTAAGAAGATTCAAAAGTTTGGCATCACGAGTTCTGAAAATTAAAATTAGAAAAGACTTTAATATATATATATATATATTTTTAAAACCCTGAAATTTCTGTCTTCTGGCTCCGGGATTGAAAAATTTCTTGATATCGAGACAAGAAAAACCTAGGTTAGGAAAATCGAGTGGATCATATAAGTCCCCCCAAATAATTAACACTGCATGAAATAACACATTTGAGATTCGCCCAGTTCTTCTACGCAATGGGTTTGAGGTCGTCTTTCGAATTCGGCTCAGCCTCTTCACTTCTTCCCTTTTGGCACTCGGCAGCCCTTGGCAGCGTCTCCCATTATGTCCCAGTATTCTCCAAACTGGAGTTTCGCTTCTTCATTATCTCCCAGGCATTCGATCTTCTCATCCAAAGGTTCAACTCCCTGTTGGGGGTGGGGGAAACGAAAGAAGGGGGAAAAAATGAAAAAGGAAGAATGAAAAGATCTTATTTTTTTTGCATCCCTGCTGTTGTTTTTTTTTAAAAAAGCTCCCCAGTTTTGAGATTTTTTGTTAAACGATCAGATTGGGGGGGGTGTTTTTTAAATGCAAACCTTTTATGGATTTAATCCCTTGCTTACATTTTATTTTACAGTCCATTTGATGCATTGGGAATTAATGATAGATTCTTAATAGCAACTATTTTCAGTAGGTTGTTTACAGTCAGTTATTAATTTGTGCACGTTTCTGCAAGCGGTATATTTTTGGGGGATGTACAGTTTTGGTCATCTTTATTATTTTCTGCGCGCTTATCTGTTCTTTAATGGATATTTTCTTGCGCATATTTTGACCGGTAAAATATGGAAACCAGTCCCTTAACAAACTGAGATTCAGTCTGGGCCTTATTTTAAAGTCCTTAAATAAAACCTATAATAATTACTACGAGTTGACATTAACTTGACATCACTTAATCCAAAATGTGGTTTTAAACTCAACTCAACTCTAAATGCTAAACGCTAAACGCTAAGTTCTAAACTCTAAATGCTAAACTCTAAACGCTAAACTCTAAACTCCAAATAAACTAAACTAAAACTAAAACTAAAATTAAAACTAGACAATTCTAGAATATAAAGAAGTTTCCAAACGAAATAACTATCTTAATGCAGAAACCGTGCATTTACATGAAAATGCAGACGAGCCTTCATTCTCTTGAAATGCAACCTCGATTTTTGCATGGAAACACAATCTGGGGGGGTTTGGCCCAGCAGGAAAAAATAGAAAAAAAACCCATTTCTTTTCATTTAAAAAAAGGAGATCTTTGCAACCTGAAGAGACTGCACGATGGGGCCTTTTCGGCGGTGGCCCCAAACGCGGGAATTTCTGCCTAACGGAATTCAGAAACCCCCAAGAAGACTTTTTGTGCAGAATTTCAACCAGCCAAAAAAAGGCTTCTTGGGGGTGTGCGTGGATTTATCGGTGTCCCGATCCCTGTCTTCGAAACGGGGCGTCCCGCCGATGGTGGTCTCACCTTGGCTAAGTGTGGTAGCCTCTGTCCAACCAGGTCTTTTAATTCGTTGGGCGTCAGGCATTCCTTGTGTCCCTTGACGGCGTAGCAATGGAAGTTGTTGATGACAATTTCGATGGCTCGCTCGACATCGGTGAGTTCTTGGCAATCCTGCAAGCCGGCAAGGAGACAGGTGGGAAGAGAGGACAGGTGAGGATTCATCCCGGCCACGCAATCCCCATGCACCATCTCTCCCAAAGTTGTCCAACCTGCCAAGCTCCTTCCTACATGCAACTGCACCCTCCCCGAAACACCCGGCTCATTAAGGCGTCCAAATTTTTTTTTTACGCCAAAGTCTGGGACACAGTTTTGTACTCAGCCTCTCCCCTCCGTCATTCGTTGAAACCCCAGGAGGATCCCGTAAATTTCAACCAACTTAATATTTGTATTTGATGTTTTTACTTGGCTGTTCACCGCCCTGAGTCCTCAGGGAGAAGGGCGGTATACAAATTCAAAATAAAATAAAATAAAATAAAATAAACTAGGGTTTAAAAAAAAAAATCCAGAAAAAGAACAAAATGAACAGTGCAAAACAAGAAGGTGGGGAGAAGAAAAGGAGAGACTGAACAATAGGGGGGAAAAAAATCCAATTTTCTTTGGGGGAGATGCAGATATAAAACAGGGAGGGAATCAGGGCCCCCCCCCCAAAATCCTAAATATTTTGAACATTTTTCAAAGCTCGGGAGCGTTGATGGATTTTTTTGTGTGCCAAAGGAGAGATATTTAATCGGAATCCCTCACCTGAAACCATTTTCTCTTTTTTTTTAAAAAAAAAAATTACTTTAGCTTAATACCAGCCAGGATGCCTCTCAATGTTGGCTTAACACAAGCCAGGATGCCTCTCGAGAAAGATGAATGGTTGTCAAAGGAGTTTAGCCCAAACTAAGATCAACGCTGGGTCTTTTATATCTCCTGATCAAATCCACCTGTTTTCTGGTAGCATTTGAGGCACACCTGGTGTGCAAATTTCATTTAAAAAAAAGATGCATTGAGGAATCTCCATTCGGAGAAAAATTTGCCCATAGCCACAATATTTGCAAAATTAGCGGCCATTTTAATTTTCCCAGAATGCCCTGGTTGCAGAATCCGTTGAGAAGGATAGTAGGAAAAAAATACGTCCGCTAGAGGTGGAGAAGATGCATGGTAAAAAAAATATATCTGCAAACTAGATTTATTTTTTTCTGGGGAGAAAGAAGAGGAAGAAGGAAGTGAAAACCTGTGCTTCGAAGCATCGTCTGCCCAAAATTTGATTTTTTCCCCCCACCTTTTTTGTTTTTTGTTTTTCCTAGTTATCCCAAATAAAAATGCTCGCGTTACTCATTTCTTCCAGGCCTGTCCATAGCAACATAAATATTGCAAATTTCCCAGCCCAGGCGTGGTTTGTTTATCGCCATTTAATTGCAAAATCTGCCAAAATCGGATGATGGATTGAAACGATGGATTTGAGGCTGAGACAGATGAGAAATTTTTTTTTTTTAAAGGATAGGTTTCTTTTGAAGGAATCTGAAAGCAAAGGTTGCGGGCTGACGAAACTTTTCTAGGATTCAAAGCAAATAATATAATAGACTTTAGGACAGAAATTAACCCCGATCAGCAATGACTGTGATTAGAAATTGCTCCTTCCAAGATTTGGAGCGCTGAGACATTTTTCTGATATTTAAGAAGAATCTTTTCTTGGGGGGGGGGGGAATAAATAAAAAAAAAATAATTAATTAAAGTCAAAATAAGCACAACGTCTGGAGCTTCTCACCAGAAAGACATGGATTTTAGCAATCTGCAAGTTAGCCCTTATTCTCACAAGCTGAAAATGTTAAATTTCGGGGCCACCTTTCTTACGACTGTGCGCAAGGAAGAGTTTTTCAAACAAGTCAGGTGGAATAACCTGCTCGGATGCTAAAAAGACACAGCGGCATCGGGGCGTTTCCTGGGATTCAATCTCACTCTTTGAGCCATTTTATCTCGATAGATTGCAAATTAAATTTACAGGCAGCAATGGGAACCTGGGGGAGGGAGGAAAGCCAAAAAGAGCGTGGCTGGATTGTCGGCTAATTCTTTCGAACCCAGAACTCGATCCGAATTGAATTCCAAAATATTTCTAATCCAGTGTCTTCAAAAGTTTCCAAAACCTGGTTTCCTTTTTTTCCTCTTTTTCCCTCTTTGTTTCTTGCTGGCCCGGAGAACAGTTGTGACTCAGTTGTGACTAGACTTGGCGTTATTTTTAATTCCTGCGGGAAAAACTGAAATGGAAAAGCACCAAGAACTCTTTTTCCCAGCGTGGATTTTGGAGACAAAAAATAATAATGGTGGCCTTTGATGCAGAAGATGGCTGAATTTTGCATAGGCCTCCCCTGTCAATATTCTGATTGATTGATGGTTTGTTAATGTGCCATCATTTTTTGATTTCTAGCAGTCGCGTAGATGTATTTTCTTCAGGGGCCCCTTATCCTACCAGAAAAAGGCTTGGCTTGCTCCAATATATTCAATTCTTGTAAAATGATGGTTTAACCTGAAAAAGCTTTGCCTTGAATCCAATCCGCTTTGCTAACGTTTCCAAGAGAGATAAAATGCAAGATAGGAAAAAGAGAAGAAGGAGAAGGAGGAGAAGGAGAAGAAGAAGGAGAGAAGAAGAAGAAGAAGAAGAGAAGAAGAGGAGGAGGAGGAGGAGGAGGAGGAGGAGGAGGAGGAGGAGGAAAAAACTTAAGGGAAAGAGGATCTAAAAGGAGGAAAAAATTAAAAACAAGTCAAGAAAAAAAATGTAATAAAACAGATGAATTCCTAACTGTCTTCAGCACAGAATACAGATATATAGTAATAGAATAATGTCTTGGTCTAAATTAAAACAGAAGAGTTTGAATGAGAATCGGAGACCATTAAATTGGAACATCCCTACCAAAATTTCCGGGTTTTTGGCAAAGGAGGATCCACCTCCAGGATCAAACTGTCTTAAATCTTTGGGTGATTTTTCTTTAATTTTCACCCCTGGCATTGGCCTTCCTGCCGCGTGGAGCTTATACAACCCAGTTCTTGACGGGAACAACCGAGAAAAAAAAAATAGGGTTTTTCTTCTAAACAATTCTTCACCAGGGTTTGGGAAAGGGAAATGTGTCACCATCTCTGTCCATCTTCCTCTTCTGAAAATTAAACTTCTCCGCTCCCTCAAGCTTTTTTGAAAGGATGTGAGTCCCCGGTCTGGAATTAGGGATCTAATTTGGGGGGGGCAACGGCCTCTTCGAATCTGCCGTGGAGATCTTCTCCAGATTTCACCCCTCGCCGTCTTTCCCCCCCCTTTTGGCATCTCAAGACCCCCAAATCAGGCCCATCATTTTCCGTCTCTCTTTTGTTTCTCAACCCCCCATGAAACCACCACCACAACACGCAACCCACACCCCACCTGTTCCCCCCCCTCTTTCACCTTTCGCTTCTTGCCGCATCGACAACCCATCGCTCACTCCCGACAGATCGGCTCTTCGCTGTCTTGGGTGAAATCCCCCCCTTTCGGAAGATAACGATAACCCGGTGGTTTTCTGGAGCTTTGAGAATTCGCTCCCCGGTTCAGGCGGGGTCTCCTATCAGAAGGGCGGGAGAAAAGAAGAACAGGATTTGTGTGTGTGTGTGAGTGTGAAATGCTCCTTTCGGTATCCGCGTTGAAAAACTGCACGATCTCTTCTGGGCTGCCGTAAGCAAGTTTGAAGAAGTGATGTGCCCTGACTTGTCCAACCCGAGAAGATTCAGAGAAGAAGGGAAGAGAGGAGGACAGTTGCCAAGAAGATGGGGAAGGGAAGGGAAGAGAAGGGGAGACCCTCCCTCGAATTGTCCTCTCTCGGTTTTGGGGAAGGGGGAACCTCAAGATAGAAGGCCAACTTACCTGCTCCCTGGGGTTGGATGTGCTGCTCTCGGTTGTCGCCTTGCCACGGTTTTATACCTGGGGAAGGTGTGTCCAGGAGACACCTTATGGAAGGAGCTGCGAGTTGCAAGTGTGGTGCAATCCTCTCCTTGTGCTGACTGGCCCACGGCCAGAAGACAATGCTCAGACGCCACCCATTGCTCTGTTCTTACTCACAGCTCAAGGATGAGGCCGCTTCCTCCCTTCCCCCATTGCCCCAAGTTCACCAGTCACCTCCTGGTTGACTTCTAGCACGTTGAGATGTTGAGGTGGGCTCACCTCACACTGGTGTGGGGTACCCGCAACCATATTTGCTTCATGGAAAGTCCTGGGTGAAGATTTGGGGATGCTGTGTGGCTTTGGACTCTTCTCTCCTCACTCATGTGGGACCTTCTAGGAGAACTTTGTGGGCTCCTTGAGGGTTTGAGGTCGGAGGGGACTCCCAACTAGAGGTATCTCCAGCTTTGAAGGTGGCAAAAGAGATCCCTCCGGAGAACAGACCGACGAGGACGTGAGACCTCATTCCCAGGGAAAGAAGTCTCTGTCCAACCAGCAGCCCTTTGGGGGAAGTTCTCAAGAAGGTCCTACTTAGAGAAGAGCCATCTTCAGGTTCTAGCAGTTGAGCAGTGAGCAAAATTTGGAGAGCCCAGCGTTGAAAGCTCTCCACTCCTCCTTCCTTGAAGACCTAAATAATATTTGTTTATGGGGTCTCGGGCGTTGTTTGTCCAGCAGTTTTTATCAGGGTTGGAATCGGACTTTTGGACTTTGTCGAGACCCAATCAGACAAAGCATAATCTACTCTGGATAGTTGGTGTGTCTCCAATGTCCACTGTCCAGGGTGGCCGGAATTTTTGCCTTCTCTCTGGGCTGCTTGGGGATTCTGCTAAATCTCCGGAGTGGGACGTTTCACCCCCAAGATCTGAGCAGAGCCCCCTTATGAAGTCAGTGGACGTCGTGTGCGCTCTCACGACGACAGATAATCCTGGACTTTACAACGTTCCATTTAGTGACCTGTTCGAAATGACAACAGCGCTGAAGAAAATAACTGACGATCATTTTTCACACTTAATGACCCTTGCAGCCTCTCCGCGTGGTCATGTAAACAAAATTCAGACGCGTGTCAACGGGCTCCTATTTATGACGGTCACAGCGTCCCGGGGTGACGTGATCCCCTTTTTGAGACCCTCTGACAAAGGGGGGGGGTTAGCCAGATTCGTTTAATGACCATGTGACTCACTTAACGACGGCCGTGGTTCACTTAAGCACTGTGGCGAGAGAGGCCGTGAAATGGGGCAAAGCTCACTTTGGGACTGTCTTGTTTAGCAATGGAAATTGGGGGGCTCAACGGCGGTTGTATGTCGAGGACTATCTTGGTGGAGTCTGGGTTGGCAAGCTTAGCAAACTCACCTCCCACCCCCCCCAGCAGCTTAAGCGTGTAAAAATACTGGCCACAAGTTGTTTGAAGTTTGTACGTTTGCGTTATAGTGGCAGATTCCTGCAACGGGCAGGGGTTGGACTAGATGTCCTCCAGGGTGCCTCCCAGCCCTGTTAAACCTCAGTTCTATCAACCCTAGAGTCTGAATTCAGGATAACAAGAGTTGGAAGGGGCCTCGGAGGTCTTCTAGTCCGACCCCCTGTAAATCATTTCGGGGTCTCTATGATATATCAAAGACCAACAAACTCCTTGAAAAATCAAACTTCACGCTCTTGCGAGTCCTTTTCCCACGGCTTTTGTCTGACCTGTGAGGTCACCGCCCGAAGTGTTAAGCCGTGGCTTGTGGTTTAGCCTTGTGGCCTAACCCTGGGACGTCTGACAAGCCAACATTGAAGACCCACACAAACGAGTGACTTTGCAAGTTATTTACTCCGGGATTTGATGCGTCGATTTTTTGTCTCTTTGTCTCTCCGTCTCTTTCTCACACCCCGGCCTTTGGGATCAACTGCCATGTCAATTTAGCAGCTAATCCCGTCTCCATGGTCACCGGCGGTGACAGATCAACGCCCCGCAGACTCAAATTCTTTGGCACCTACTTCAGCCCTGCCACAATCCGCTCCCCGTATCCGACGCGTGCCTGCAGGAACTCAAGATGCTTCATATCCGGTTTGAGTTGCGAGGACGGCTCTTAATTCCTCACGACTCGTCGAGCTGGTCTTGGTTCTCCGCCAAGAGTTGGTTGGTGGAGGCATCTCGGCAGCTTCCAGGAGTTGGTGGATGGGGGTGGGTGGGTTGCCCTGCCTACCCGGCCTGGGTGGTGGGCGGGATTGCTGTGTGTTGCCCAACTAGCATTGAGGAGACACAATCTGGAGGACCAAGGAAGACTTGGGATGAAGTGAAGCTGAGGAGATATTTTATCCTGGGGCATCTGGTTGGTCCTTCCCACCTTGTTCTACTAACAGTGGTTGGGATTATATCTTATGGGTCTCATCTAAGGGTCTTTAGGAGGGGGGAGGGCTTCCCAGGAGGGGTCAGGGATCACTCTGAGGAGGTTGTGTTTCTAAAAATATGGAAGCAATGTTCAAGTATCATGAGTTCTCTTGAAGGAAGAACTTGAAGAGCCACCTTATCTCACAACCGTTCCTGGTTCCATCTGCCTGGGGTTGTCCTATCTTGCTTGGCTCTTGACCCAGGGACAGGACCAGGGAGAGCTCCCAGAGAGGAAAAGGACCACCTTGGTTCTTGGCTAAGTAGACCTTCTGGATGAATCAAGATCTGGAGGAAGACTTAGAAGGGTGATCACCAGGCCCAAAGGTCAAGACAGAAGAGTCCTGTGGAGATAGGACCCAACCTTCTAGATGCTGAATGAGCCCATGGTGAAGAAAGTTGGGTAAGACAAGAAGGAGAGATGGTTTGGGACCAAGGAGACCCTTCAAAGGATGTTCTTGACTTGGTTGAGTCCTAAATGGAAGATGTTGCTACTACATGTAGCATTGTTTGGTTATGTTGTGACCGAGGCCCAAGTAGTGATTACCGAACACAATTCAGTCCTCAACGAACTTGGACATTGGTGTCTCTTCTTCTGTGTGTTCACCCCAGACTTCTCTTCCTTCCTAATAAACTCTTGTTGGGCTGCACATTTCTGTCTTATCTACTCAACATTCAGTAAATTGTTGTTCACTTGGCAACTGTGCATTATGGGACCTTGGAACAAGACACATGGCCCGTTCCCGGCATCAGATCTTGGCCTCAATTTGGCAGGGATCTGTTCTCCTCCCTCACTCCCCCTCCCGCTTCTTTTACACACACATACACACACACAAACATGTCAACCCAGACATATGTTTCTGGTCTGACCATCAAACGATGGAAAAGCACCGGCTTGGTATTTATTTGATTTATTTGAATTTTAAAAAGCTGCAAGAGAGGCTTGGTGGCTCTCGACATCTTGCTGTCCTCCCGCCGATACGCAACTGTTGTGGTGTCCTGGTCCCGGGTCGTTTCTCCTCGACGCCCAAATCCTCACTCCGCAACTCCATCACTTCTTCTTCCCCACTTTCTCTTTCTTCATCTCCTTGGCCATTCGCCGATCAGCCGCCAGTATTCTCCAAATTTCAGCTCCTGGTCACGGTTGACATCCAAGGTTTTCATCTTCTCATCCAGGTCCCCGACATTCTTCAAAAGAAGAAAAATTCATTCAAATATATATATATGCAAGTCTTGGCTATTCCCGTGTAAGATTGAGGCAAAGATTTGCACACATATATATAATATATATATATTAAAGGTAAAGCCCCTCGCACATACGTGCTACTTGTTTCCGACTCTAGGGGCAGTGCTCATCTCCATTTCAGCCAAAGAGCCAGCGCTGTCAAGACGTCTCCGTGGTCATGTCCGGCATGACTCAATGCCAAAGGCGCACAGAACGCTGTTACAAAGGTGGTTCCTATTTTTCTACTTGCATACTTACTTCCAACTGCTAGGTTGGCAGAAGCTGGACAAGTCACAGGAGCTCACCCCGTTACTTGGCACTCGGGATTCGAACTGCCGAACTGCCGACCTTTCGATCGACAAGCTCAGTGTCTTAGCCACTGAGCCACCGCACCCCTTTGTGTGTGTGTGTGTATAACATATATATTTGCAAGACTGGCAAAAATGTATAAAGATAGATCTGCCAAATGTTGGAAGTGTAATCAATCATCTGGTTCATACTACCATATGTGGTGGACATGCCCAAAAGCTAAAAAATATTGGATGAAAATATATACTTGGTTGGGAAAAAAAATGACAAAGCAACATATAGATTGGAGACCAGAGATATTTTTGTTGGGCATTCTACCGGAAAAATATGACAAAAAGACTATATATATGGTTTTGCATATACTAACCGCAAGTCGAATTGTATTTGCACAACAATGGAAAAATGATGAGATTCCGTCAGAGGGCAATGTAATTAAGAAAATATTAGAATGCGCAGAAATGGATAGACTAACGCTCGCTATTAAGGATAAAGAAGAAACTGAATATTTTTTGATACGGGACGTATTAATGGCCAGACAATAGAAACAGAAGTTAGAAAGGAGATAATAAAAAGAAAAAATGTTAATGTGGAGAGTTGCTAAAAAAGATGATGTTAAGTATTACTGTTATTATATTATTATATTATTAATACTATGGCGATGAATATTAGAACAAATATGTGGATTATGATGGTCTAAAAATAACTGTACCCAGATCACACGCTGTTTAAAAATATAAATAAATAAATAAATAATTTTATTTCTATACCGCCCTTCTCCCGAAGGACTCAGGGTGGTGTACAGCCAATTTAAAAACACAAGACACAACAATAATTAAAAATTAAAATAATTAAATAGATTTGGCCGATTTAAAACCCTAAAAATTAAAATACCCCAATTTAAAATTATTATATTGACAGTTTGATGGAAACTGAATGTTATCCTATTTCCCCGAAAATAAGACCTCCCCTGATAATAAGCCCAATCGGGCTTTTGAGCCCATGGGCTAAAATAAGCCTCCCCCCCAAAAAAAATAAGCCCTCCCCAAAAATATTTAAACGCAGAGCTGGAAATCAGCTAAGACGGCAAGAGAAGCCCCGTCTTGCTCCACGCGCCCCAAAATAATAAGACCTCCCTGAAAAATAAGCCAAGCGCTTATTTCGGGATCCCCCCAAAAATATAAGACAGGGTCTTATTTTCGGGGGAACACGGTATCCGAATAAAAACATGAAGGAAAAAAAAAAGAAGAGAAAAAAAAAGGCACGAAGGGGAGAAAAAGTATTTTAAAAAGGGGGAAAACGCGCTCCCCTCCGGTTCGCCTAAACCGGGTGGGGCCCCCTCTCCCCATTTCCCCCCCCCCTCCCTTCCCCTGGACGTGCTCACCTTCATAAGGTTGGGCAGCTGGGCGGTGGCCAACTCTTTAAACTCGCCAGTGGTGAGTGTGGCTTGATTGCCTTCACGGGTGGAATACTTGAAAAAGATGTCGACGATTGTTTCGATGGCCTTCTCCAGCTCGGTCATTGCGCTGCTGGTCATGGCGAGCGAGGGGTGTCCGTCTTCGGTCAGATGGGGTGGGTGAAGCAGGCTGGCCAGGGAAGAGGGAGAGGAAGGTGGGGGGGGTGATGAAGAAGAAAGCTATGGGGATGCGTTTCGTGGAGACGGCGTTGAAAAGGGAGCGGTCCCAGGAGGTGCAGGCATTCCTCGGCTTACGACCGCAGATAGAACCGGCCCCTTCGGTCGCTAAGCCAGGGGGTTGTTAAGAGATCCTAAATATATTTAATCTGAAATTCATCTTAAATTTATTTTGTAGTTTCCTTCCTCCCTCCCTCCGTCTGTTTGTTTCTTTTTCTTTCTTCTCTCTTCTTTTTCTTTCATCTTTAATCTATTTACTAAGCCATCCATCCGTTTTAATTGTTTTAACTATTTTATTTATTTACTAATCTTTTTAAACTGTTCCTTCCTTTCTTCCTCTCTCCTCCTTTCTTTTTCTTTTTCTTTTTCTTTCTCTTCTCTCTTTTTCTTTTATCTTTAATCTAATCTACTAATCCATCCATCCATTTATGAATCTTTTCTTCCTTCTCTTTCTTTCTTTCTCTTTCTTTTTTCTCTCTTCTCTTTTTCTTTCATCTTTAATCTAATCTAATCTACTAATCCATCCATTTACGAATCTTTTCTAACTGTTCCTTCCTTCCTTCTCTTTCTTTCTTTTTCTTTCTCTTTTTTCTCTCTTCTTTCTTTTTCTTTTTCTTTCATCTTTCATCTAATCTATTAATCCATCCATCCATTTACGAACCTTTTCTAACTGTTCCTTCATTCCTTCTCTTTCTTTCTTTCTTTTTCTTTCTTTTCTCTCTCTCTTCTCTTTCTTTTTCTTTCATCTTTCATCTAATCTACTAATCCATCCATCCATTTACGAATCTTTTCTAACTGTTCCTTCCTTCCTTCTCTTTCTTTCTTTTTCTTTCTCGTTTTTCTCTCTTCTCTTTCTTTCTTTCATCTTTATTCTAATCTACTAATCCATCCATCCATTTACAAATCTTTTCTTCCTTCTTTCCTTCCTTCCTTCTCTTCCTTTCTTTCTCTTTCTTTCTTCTTTCTTTCTTCTCTCTTTTCTCTTTCTTTTTCTTTCATCTTTAATCTAATCTACTAATCCATCCATTCATTTATGAATCTTTTCTAACCCTTTTCTTTCTTTCTTTCTTTTTCTTTCTTTCTTTCTTTTCTTTCTTTCTTTCTTTCTTTCTTTCTTTTTTCTTTCTTTCTTCTTTCTTTCTTTCCCTGGCTGCCTATCACACCTACCTACTGGCTCTGTCTGTCAGTCAGTCTTGCCTTTCCAAAGATTAACTGATCCCCAAACGTTCATTCACAGATTGGAGTAAGCCAAACCCACCTCCTCCAGGCTCCAGCCGCCCTCCAAGCGAAGGAAAATCCCAGGCCCCCCATCCCTCCCCATCCGTTGTGTCCCGTCCCGTCCCCCACGGCCGCTTCCTGCAGCCACCTGGCCACTTACCTCAACCTTGGTCTCCCTTGCAAGGAAAACCTTCAGGTGGGGAGGTTTTATAGGGCCGTCACTGGGAGGTGGGGAAGGGAAGGTTACTTTGGAGTATTTGACCCAGCCTGCTCTCCTCCCCTCTTGGCAAACCTTCTCCAAAGCTTTTTCACCCATAAACAAGAGTTTTCTTTGGAAACTCTGATTCTAAACCCTAGTGGCCAGGATTTAAAATAACCTTCCTCATCCCGCAGAACAAAATGGGACCTTGTGGGGGGATAAAGGGGGCATTTGTGTTAGAGGTTTACAAGCCTGGAACGAAGCGTCCCGTAGACTGGAAAATCCTGGTTTTTTTCTTCATTTTTTTCCCCCCCAAACAGATCGGAATTCTCTCTTGGTTTGGCACAGGGACCAGGAAGGGGCGAGATGATTCTTGTTTAGCCTGATGGAGGGACAGGATGTGTCCCTGGCTGGTTGGGTTGGGCCGGGAAGGCTCTGTCCCCAAATTATTTTTGTTCCCTGGGTCGAAAGTTTCCCCACTTTTGCCTGGAGCGAAATCAAGGAAGCTTCTAGCCAGGGTTAAATGGGGCTTGAGAAGGGAAAGGAAGGAGAAAGGAGGAAAAGGAGAAAGGGAAGGAGAAAGGGCAGGAAAAGAGGAGAAAAGGAAGGGAAGGAGAAAGGGAAGGAAAAAGGAGGAAGAAGTAAAGGGATGAAGAAAGAAGAAGGAAAGGGAAAGAGAAAGAAGGGAAAAGAAGGAAAAAGGAAGGAAAGGGAAGGAGAAAGAAGGAAGAAGGGAAGGAGGAAGAAGGGAAGGAAGGGAAGGGAAGGAGAAAGGGAAGGAAAAAGGAGGAAGAAGGAAAGGGATGAAGAAAGAAGGAAGAAGGAAAGGGAAAGAGAAAGAAGGGAAAAGAAGGAGAGAGGGCAGGAAAAAGAAGGAAAAAGGGAAGGAAAGGGAAGGAGAAAGAAGGAAGAAGGGAAGGAGGAAGAAGGGAAGGAAAGGAAAGGAAAAAAGAGGAAAGAAGGAGAGGAGAAAGGAAAGGCAAAAAGGGAGAGGGAAGGGAAAGGAGTGGAGGTGAAAAGAGAAGAAAGGAAAGGTGAAAAAAGAGGAAAGGAGAAAAGAGAAAAAAGAAGAGAAAAGAAATGAAAGGGGAGTTCTGTTGCACGGGGCAACTCCAAATACGACACAAAAACGCAGCCCATTTTTAATATAAAACTCTTCAGATTTGAACCTTTTCTGATATAAAACCTGAGTTCCTGGGGAGCAGATCTGACTTACTTTTGCCCTCTGCAGAGACTCAGCTGAATTTAAACTTTTTCCATTACTTTCCAGCCTATTTGGGAAATCAGAAGAGAGGGATGGAAAAAAACCACAAACCCATATCTTCTCAGATATAATGCAGGAGGAGAAGAAAAGAAAGAAAGAAAGAAAGAAAGAAAAAGAAAGGAGTAGAAAGAAAGAAAAAGATAAGGGAGAGAAAAAAGGGAGAAAGAAAGAAAGAAAAAGTAGAAAGAAGAGTAGAAAAAGTAGATAGAAAGAAAAAGATGAGGGAGAGAGAAAAAGGGAGGAAAAGAAAAAGAAAGAACAAAGAACGAAAGAAAGATAGCAGAAAGAAAAAGAAAGGGAAGGGAGAGAGAGAAAAAGGGAGAAAGAAAGAGTAGAAAGAAAGAAAAAAAAAGAAAAAGAAAGGGAGAGAGAAAGAAAAAGAAAGAAAAAAGGAAGAAGGGAGGCAGGGAGAAGAAGAAAAAGATAGATATAGAGATACATAGATAGATGATGATAGATAGATAGATCCTGGGTGAGTTATTCTCCCAAAAGAGGGGGGGGTCCTTCTGCCCACCATCAGATTAAAAAACAACAACTGTGCAGTTTCCCCTTTAAGACTTGTGGTTTGGAGCTGTGAGTCAGAGAAGGTACTTTCTAAAAAAAAAAAAAAAACTATTAGCACAAATTTCTTCCTTTTTTTTTAGCTGCAGGCTGAGAGTGGAAGGAGAGGAGGGAAAGAGCACCTATGGAAAGGTTCCCCCAGAAAAAACTGCCGGCTGCTGTATATCTCAGGTTAGTGGCCGATCCGAGGAACCTCCAGCCTCAGCTGCAGTCTACCTCTGAATCCGGAATCTGGAACAATGAGGCTGTTTGCAAGGGAGATTTTTTTTTTTTTAGAGTTCCCAGATTATTGTCATGGGGGAAATAAGAATCTGGTTGGGTCTGAATCGCTCTGGGGGAATTCTGGGAGTTGAAGTCCAGCCTTTTCTAAACTTTGCCAAGATCGAGAAAGAGATAGAGATAAAGATAGATAGATAGATAGATAGATAGATAGATAGATAGATAGATAGATAGATAGATAGATAGATGTAATTGATAATATAAATGAGAAAATATAATAGAGATGATATAGAGATATACATAGAGAGAGAGAGAGAGAGAGAGAGAGATGTAATAATATAAATGAGAAAATATAATAGAGATGATATAGAGATAGATAGATAGATAGATAGATAGATAGATAGATAGATATGGATGATAGTTGTTGATAGACAGAGACAATCTCACCAGATCCCACCAACTCCAATCACCCCAAGCCCACCTTCTCCTCCCCAACCCTTCTCCCCTCCATCAAAGCCCCCATCCTCCCCCCAAATCAGCCCCCCCCATTGTCTCAGCGGCAGAGACCCAAAGGAAAGTGCCAGGCCAGCTTCTGCCCCACCCAAAGCAGATTGGTGGGACCAACTGGTTTATCCAGGGCCACAGCCAGCTGCTGCGAGGGGTGTGCGGGAGAGGGGACCTCTCTGGGCTTCCAGATGTTGGGGCTTGGAGTCCCCTCCCAGAGGCGCCTGGTGCTCGCCTGGGCACAACCGCTCACCCTTGACACCCCTGGGCTGCCCGCCATTCATTTTCCCAGGCTGCCCACCCGCCAGACACAGGCTGCAAGCCGGGCAGGTTCGCAGGAGGAAATGCAGCCCGGATGACTTAAGAGGCAGCGCGGTGTAGTGCTTAGAGTCAAGTCTATCTAGGAACGCCAGCTGATGGCCGGAGGATCCCAGCAGGGCATGGCAGAATAACAGAGTTGGAAGGAAGGAAGGAAGGAAGGAAAAAAGATGGGAGGGAAGGAGGGAGGAATATAGATAGAAGGACAGATAGATAAATAGAGATGGAAGAGAAGGAAGGAAGGAAGAAAGAAAGGAGGTGATAGAGGGAAGGAAGGAAGGAAGGAAGGAAGGAAGGAAGGAAGGAAGGAAGGAAGGAAGGAAGGAAGGAAGGAAGGAAGGAAGGAGATGATAGAGGGAAGGAAGGAAGGAAGATGATGGAGGGAAGGAAGGAAGGAAGGAGATGATAGAGGGAAGGAAGGAAGGAAGATGATAGAGGGAAGGAAGGAAGGAGATGATAGAGGGAAGGAAGGAAGGAAGGAAGGGAGGAAGATGAAGAGGGAAGGAAGGAAGGATAGTAGAATAACAGAATAAAAGCATTGGAAGGGACCTTGGAGGTCTTCTAGTCCAACCCTCTCCTCAAGCAGGAGACCCTCTACCATTTCAGACAAACAGCTCTCCGATCTCTTCCCGTGTTGGGGCCCCCACAACTTCTGGAAGGCAAGCCAGGGGGGGCTCCCCAGAGGGCATCCGTCTGACCCCGCTACGCTCTTCCTAGATTCTTTTCCATCTGCAATCGTCATCAACGCGAACCCATTGCCTAACGTCCAAATTACGATCCCGGGACAAACAGGGAATGCCGCAACGGTGTAAGACACGGGGGCCCGAGAAACCCCGGTCCCTTCCCTTTCCCTCCTCCCCCCCACCGTGGGCCGTCGTAACTTGGAACGGTCACTAAACGAAGCTTGCAAGTCAGCTCTGTGCCGGGCCAAAAAAAGCCGCCCCGCCTTCCCTGTTATATTTTTAGGAAGCAGGTTGGCCAGCTCCCTGCAGGGACGGCCACACAATGGCCCTTTGTTGACCCGCAAGAGGCAAACAAGCCAGCATCTGTCTCCTGGGCCGGCTTGCCAAACCTTCCCTATTGGTCGTCCCCGGTGGGGAGGGTCCGGGAGGGGTGGTCTGTGGCTTGGATTTTAGGGCAAAACTCAACCCCCCCCCCCAACCGTTCCTTCCTTCCTTCCTTCCAGCCAGCCAACTCATCCACTTCGTGCAGTAAGTCATTTCCAAAGGGCAGGGAGGATGGGATGGACGGACGGATGGAGGGATGGATGGATGGATGGATGGATGGCTTAGCGCTTAGATTCTGCAGCCCTTGGCATGTTTCTATCTCCCCACCCCCACTCCACCCCACCCCAAATCTCCTCATCCCCCCCACTCCCCACCCCAGATTTCCCCAAACCTGCAAAAAAAAAAAATAAAGTAAAATCTGCATTCGTGATTATATTCGCCAATGCAAAACTTCACCGAAGATATTCAGGGTGTGTGTGTGTGTGTCTCTGGAGGTCGTGCGAGGATCTTTGTGTGTCCCCCCCCCTCCCCAAAATGACACTTTTAAGCTGAATTCATTAATTGCATTTTCAGGGGATTTTATTTTCCCCCCTTTCCCAAGATGGGGTGTGTGTGTGGGGGGAAACGTGCAAAGCGGGGTGGGAGGAGGAGAAGATTGGGGAGGGGCGCATTCAGACAGCTGTTGGGAACCTGCTTGCTGAAGTATTAACCCGGTTTGGGGAGCCTAACATCCCTCGACAAACCGACTAAGCCAGCGTTAACCCAAGTTTAGCATCCCACGCTCCAGACGCAGAAACGGAAGCTTGATCCAGGTTTAAACTAACCAGGGTTAGCTTGTGAACCGGTGGACAGTGACAGTTTCCCTAGAAAATGAGCGAAGCCCTCTGCGCATGGGCAGGAGCTCCCCTATGGAACTCAAAGCTTGGAAATTAGTCTCAATTAGTCCAGTTTTGAAACTTCTGCAAATAATTTGGGAGTTTGGGGTAGAAAAAAACAGATGATTTAGGGATTTTGAGGTTGAAGGGATCTTTTATTCTCCCAATCATCATTTGCAGTAGACAAACTCCGAATTTCACAGGCAGTCCTCGACTTACAACAATTGGTTCGTTTAGTGACCGGCACTGAAAAAAAGTGACTGAGATCCCCCTTTTTTTTTTCAAACTTACGACCGTCCCAGCATCCCCGCAGTCACGCGATCAAAAATCAAAAGACTCGTATTTATGACGGTCGTGGCGTCCCAGACTCACAGGATCCCCTTTTGTAACCTTCAGAAAATCGGGGGGGGGGTTCACTTAACAACCGTGGAGGTCTTAAAACGGAGCAAAATGTCTCGCGGAACCTCAGAAATTTGAGCCTCGGTTGCGTTAGCTGTAATATAACAAACAGCTCATCGGTAATTTGTTGAATCATTTCTTTTCTCTTTTTGTTGTTGTTTAAATGAGGGTTGCAAAAGCCCCATTTCCCCATCTCCAAACACGTGTGTGGCATGTATGATTTATTTATCACATATTTATCAGCTGATACAGGCAGGGATTTGAAGCGGTGTACGTGTCATCCCTAGGAGCAATTAATAATAATAATAATAATAACACAGCCCGTGTCTCCCCGCCAAGCTTACAAAAACACGACAAATATTCGGGCCAACACCCCATAAGTATGTGACCAGGCACTTCTTCCCAGATGGAATGAAATGGAAATTCGAAATAAAAGCGATAAGAATCAGAATTGCCAATCTGCAGGCTGGCCTGTGTCGTTTTAGATTGACCCACTGCTTTTTTAAAAAAATTATCTTTATTTAGGCTTGGCGAGCCTTCAAAACTGCTAAAAACTGGCTGACGATGAAAAAAAATATATTAAAAATTAGAAATTGGGGCGAGGGGTTGGACTAGATGACCTACAAGATCCCTTCCAACTCTGTTAATCTGAATCTGAATTGGTTACAACCGCAACTGAGTCCCCAAGGTTCTGTCGCTAAGCGAGACCGTCGTTAAGTGAATTTTGTGCCTATTTTTACGATCTTTCTTGCCCCGGTTGTTAAGTGAAACTTAACGTGAAGTTAAGTTTCGCTTAACTTAAGTGAAACAACGACTTAACGTCGTTAAGCTGGGAACACGGTTGTTAAGTGAATCCGGCTTCCCCGTTGACTTTGCTCATCAGACGGTCGCAAAAGGGGGGGGGTGACACCCGCCCCCACTGCGACCATCGTAAATACAAGTCTGAATTTTGATGACGTGGCGGCGAAGGTCACAAGTGTGCAAAATGGTCGTTAGCTCTCTTGTAACCGTCACTGAGCGAATTGTTGTTAAGTCGAGAACTACCTGGATCAGGAAACTCTGGAGAGAGGCTTATTTTGGTTCGAAGGGAAGAGAGGAGGAACAAAAAGAAAGGAAAAATAAATTAGAAATAAAATTAAAATAATCCAAACTCAGCCAGGCTGAAGGAACATGAATATACCAGGCAGAAAATTCTGCTGGAAAGAATCTGCTGGGTTAAAAATCTTTTAATTGGGGAATTTTATGGGTAAGGGGTTTTAAATTGGGGAAGCCAAAGATAAATTTAATCTCGTTTTAATGTAGTTTAATATTTGTATTGTGTGTTTATAATTTTGGCTGTTCACCGCCCCGAGTCCTTCAGGAGAGGGGGGCGGTATAAAAATTTTAAAAATAAATAAATGAATAAAAAGAAGAGGAGGAGGAGGAGGGAAAGAGGAGGAGGAAGGAAAAAGGGAGGGGGGAGGAGGAGGAGAAAGAGGAGGAGGGAGGAGGAGGAGGGGAGAGGAGAGGAGGAAGAAGAAGAGGGGGAGGAGGAGGAGGGGAGAGGGAGAGGGGGAAGAGGAGGAGGAGGAAGAAGGAGGGAGGAGGAGGAGGAAGGAAAAAGGGAGGGGGGAGGAGGAGAAAGAGGAGGGGGGAGGAGGAGGAGGAAGGAAATGGGGAGGGGAGAGGAGGAAAAGGGAGTGGGAGGAGGAGAAAGGAGAAGGGGAGGGGGAGAGGAGAGGAGGAGGAAGAGGAGGGGGAGGAAGAGGAGGAGGAGGAGGAAGGGGAAGGGGGGAGGAGAGGGAGAGGAGGAGGAAAGAAGAGGAAGAAGAAGAGGAGGAGGAAGAAGAAGGAGAAACAACTGTGAAACAGAGGCAGCAATGGCCGTTTTCATGTGGCTTGTTAATGCGAATTTGGGTGGGTTTGGATTTTAAGGGCATTTTTTTAAAAAGCGGGTTCCATTTCTTTTTTCATTTGCAAAGTTTGGAAAAAATTTGCCCGCTCTGCCCTCCGGCGAGAGTCTGATTTTAGGGGACTTGAAATCCGCTTCTCGGTCCTGGGTTTTTGTGTGTGCGTGGGGGGGGGGGTTGCCCTTAATTTGGCCCTCTGGCTTCCCGTATCCTCCCTGTTCAAAAGGGGCATTTTGTAGTCCTGGGACGGGGACGGGCGAAGGCTGGGGGCTCTGAATGGCTGCTTTGTCTGGGCAGAGAGCAAAACGCTGTAAACAGCTTTTGCGTGTCTATCGCTCTCTCCCTCGCTCTGTGTTGATGTGTTAGTGTCTGCCTCGCCCTCCCTTTCTCCGCGTTGGTGCCCGAAAGAAAGAAAGAAAGAAAAAAGGAAAGAATAAGTTGCTTGAGTCCGATATAAATGCCCATTCTAAAATGAATAGAGAATAAAAAAAGTCAGAAAGGGACCTCGAGAGGCCTTCTAGTCCAACCCGCTGCTGAAGCAGGATAATTCCTGTACAAGCTCGACTTTTAACAACCCGTCCGTTCACTGACCGTTGGAAGTTAACAACAGCACTGAAAGAAGGGACCGTTTCTCACACTTACGACCCACGCAGCAATCCCCGGTGTCGCGCGATCAAAATTCAGATGCTTGGCAACTGACCCGTGTTTCTGACGGTCGCAATTGGGGGGGTTTTCCCCCCAAAATCAAGAGGGGAAACCGGGTTCATTTGAACGGCGGTCTTATTCACAAAAGAACTGGAGCGATTCACTTAACAACGGTGGCAAGGAAGGTCGTAAAACGGGGCAAAGCTCACTGGGCAGCTGTCTCGCTCAGCAACGGCGGTTTGGGGCTCAGCTGTGGCCGTAAATCGAGGATTACCTGCACCCTTCCTACCAAGAAGAATCCTGGAATCCTGGATGCCGTTAAATCCTATTCAATCAGATTCTTTTTTTCGATTATTAAATCAGATTTGGATGCCCGTCGATTAAAAATGTCCTTTTCAGCAGGTTGAAAAAAAGCCCGTAGGTCAAAATAAAATAGAAAATAATCACGGCTTTAAATTAATTCTGGGTTAGGTTAATCAAGTCACACTTTTGGTTGATTCATTTGCTCTTTAAAGAGATTGAAGGCCGGGCGTGTCTCGTGGGACGGGGCATCGTGCCAACCCCTGGCACAAACTGGGCACCGGTCTCTATGGAGAGGGGCGAGGGGGGAATACGGGGGCTGTTGAACCCGGTTCCAACCATCCAACTTGTGGTATTTTGTAGAGAAAACTGCTCTCAAAATCCGTCCTTCTGAACGCTAAAAGGATCTCGGGGACGGGAGTATTCCTTGGAATCACGGAAGGGACCTCAGAGGTCTTCTAGTCCATCCCTCCGCTGAGGCAGGAGACCCCACACAATTCCAGACAAATGGCCATCCAGTCTCTTCTTCAAAACCTCCAGTGATGCCACAACTTCTGGTGGCGAGCAGTTCCACAGGTTCATTGTCCTCAGAACCAGCAAATTCCTCCTTCAGTCTAGTTAACTTTACTAGAGTCGAGATTTCTTTGGAAACCCGTTATATCAAAAGCGTCATAAATGGCAGTCATAAAAAAAAAAAGGGTGATAAATTCCACGCTGGTTGCCAAGCCAAATAAAATCCACTGATTTATTGTTTTCTCCCATCAGGGGAATTTCTCCTTCGTTCCTTCTGTCCTTGGTGAGTTTCCATCCGTTGCTTCTCGTCCTGCCTTCCGGTGCTTTGGAGGACAAGTTGAAACCCCCCCCCTCTTCTTTGGGGCAGCCCCTCAAATACTGGAAGATGCTATCATGTCCCCCCTGGTTCTAGATTGCACAGAAATGGATAGATTGACATTAGAAATAAAAGAATAAAGAAGATAGAGAACATTTCTCAATATGGGATTTGTTTTTACCAATGGCTAGTCCATAGAGGTAGAAATTAGAAACTGGAACTCTTTTTACTATATATAAGCAGATAGGTAAAGGTTCCCCTCGCACATCTGTGCTAGCCGTTCCTGACTCTAGGGGGCGCTGCTCCTCTCCGTTTCAAAGCCGAAGAGCCAGCGCTGTCCAAAGACGTCTCCATGGTCACGTGGCCGGCATGACTCAACGCCAAAGGCGCACGGAAAACGCTGTTCCCTTCCCACCAAAGGGGGTCCCTATTTTTCTACTTGCATTTTTTTTACCTGCTTTCGAACTGCTAGGTTGGCAGAAGCTGGGACGAGTCACGGGAGCTCACCACCGTTACGCGGCACTCGGGATTCGAACCGCCGAACTGCCAACCTTTCGATCGACAAGCTCAGCGTCTTTGCCACCGAGCCACCGCATCCCTCATATAAGCAGATAGACCCAGACGATCCATTGTTCACGAAGCACTTGTGTATGTTAAAGGAAAATGCATAACTAAATATATATATATAAGAAAAGAAGAATAAAAATATAAGAATAATACGGGAGAATACCGGTCAAATTCACCCCAAAAAAGGTATATTTTATAGGTCTGGAAACTCCCTTGCCTGTTTTGGGTTTGGGAAATAAATCAAAACTTTTGTGGGTAAGGCTTGGGTGGCTACGGAAACATTCCAGATGGAAATTGCAGCTGTCCTGGAATAAAAAAAAAGAAAGAAAGAAAACAGGACCGGAGCTGTTCCACAAGAACGCGGGCAGCGTTGCTCAACTCTTTCGGGGACAGGAAATGAAAGAAAGAGAAGAATGAAAAGCCAGCAGAATTCAGAGGGATGGAATGAGGGCCCGGCCCCAGCAAATAACTGGGATTTGTCACTTGAGTCTTGCAAAATCAGATTTTTTTAACGTTTGCTGGGAAAGGAGAGATTGGAAGAGCCGGGCGCCCTCTGGTGGGGGACGGCTGGCATTGCAACCGGGATTTGTGCTCGGCTTACGGCCAGAATGGATCCCGCCGTTTCCGTTGCTAAGCGAGACGTTCGTTAAAATGTGAGCTCCGTCCCATTTTTACGACCTTTCTTGCCGCCAGTTGTTGAGCGGATCACGGTTAGTCACGCGGCCGTTAAGCAAATCTGGCTTCCCCCGTTGACTTATCAGACGGCGATCGCATCACCTCGGGACGCTGCGCCCGTCGTCAATGTGAGCTGGTGGCCAACTTCTGAATTTGGATCGCGTGGCCGCGGGGACGGTCGTTAAGTGTGGAAAAAGGACCGAAGTGTCACTCTTTTGAGGGCGGTTGTAACTTTGGTCGCTAAATGAACGGTGGTTAAGTCGAGGACTTGTATGTCCAACAAAATTGTTTATATTTTTTTTAGGAGCACGATTGCTTCACAAACACACTTTTGCCCAAACGCAACAAAGGGGGCAGATTTGTTGGGTGTTTGCGGAAGATTCTCCGCCTTAATTTTCTTAGCTAGCGACGTTTGCGATTTGCAAACAGGGGTCATAAAACGAGGACGATCTGTACCTCTTCCCCGAGATGTCTTCCCGTTCATTGGCTCCGCCCCCTGAGCTGCCCGTTTGCTCCTGGCTCCGCCCTCCTCCCATGTTGCCGTTTCCTTTTGGCTCCGCCTCTTCTCCCTTTCGGAATCTCCAAGCAAATCGACCCACAGATTGGGCTTTACCCGTCAAGGACTCGTCTTCGAGATCTCGCGCCGGTAGTTGGACGTTGCTGTCCAGCCTGGCCTGAACTGATTTTGGCCACTGTTTAACCTGGGACAAAGTCAAGAGCTTGATTCAATAATTCATGCCATGTTCTTGCATGATTTATGCCGAAATAGTTTAGACCTCCTTCGAGTTCCCGGCCCGTAACGTGAACTCGGATCCTTTGCTCGTCCCGGTATCTGATTTCGCAGCACTTCTGTTCTCGTCCGATTTTGGTTCCACAAAAACCCTTTTCATGTTGGTCATCCGAGCCGCCTCTGGGGACGGACCCCATTGTCCATGCGGATCTGGCCAGAGACACTCGATCCCTCGTCTCGTCTCTTGTATCGGTTACCCCTTCGATGAGAGAGACCGCCACGGAGACCGTAGCCTCCCTGGACGGACAGGTAATCCCCGATTTACAACTAGAATGGAGTCCCGAATTTCCGCAGCTTGTGACGTTTGTGAAGTGGGTTTTGCCCTCTTTTGCGACCTTCCTTACCGGAGCTTTTAAGTGGTCTCTCTCTCTCTCTCTCTCTCTCTCTCTCTCTCTCTCTCTCTCTCTCTCTCTCTCTCTCTAGGCCCCGGAATGGCATCGCAATTGGAGACGGCCGTGGACACCATCATCTCCGTCTTCCACAGCTACTCCGGCAAAGAAGGCGACAAGTATAAGCTGAGCAAGAAGGAGCTGAAGGAGCTGCTGCAGAATGAGCTGGGCGGCCTCTTGGAGGTAGGACCGATGGAGGAAGGCAACGGGTGGAAACTAACCAAGGAGAGAAGCAACCTAGAACTCAGGAGGAATTTCCTAAGAATTCACCAGTGGAACTGCTTGCCACCAGAAGTAGTTGTTACTCTCAACGCTGGAGGTTTTTAAGAAGAGACTGAGACAGCCATGTGTCTGCAATGGTCAAGGCGAGGGTCTCCTGATTGAGTAGGGGGCTACCCAAAGTCACCCAGCTGGCTTTCATGCCTAAGGTCGAAACTAGAACTCCCAGGCTCCTAGAGATGGGCCTACTGTCAGCCGGAACTCCCAGTCTCCTGGTGTTTGGCCCAAAGTCACCCAGCCGGCTTTCAGGCCAAAGTGGGACTAGAATTTTTATATGTCGGAATCTGGGAAAACAGGTCAAGGAGACGGATGAGCGCCGGGGGGGCGCAGGGGGGCACCCCCGCCCGGTATCCTTTGACTCGGGGGAATCGAACGGCACTCCAAATCCTTGTCCGGTTTCTGTTTTTTCCAGACCCAGAGAGATCCGGAGGTGGTGGACAAGATCATGCACGATCTGGACGAGAACGGCGACGGGGAAGTCGATTTCCAGGAGTTCATAATCCTGGTGGCCGCCTTAACCGTGGCCTGCAACTCTTTCTTTTCGGAGGAAACCTGAGCTTGCCGGCGGCCCTTAGCGGGATCGCAAAGCTCGGGAGTTTTGGGGGGGGCTTCAAGCCCAGCTGTCCCCTTCGCAACGCCTTTTCCCCCGTTTCTCGCGGCTTCTCTGCCCAACTGGGAGCACCCCGAGGTGCCATGTAATCGTCTGCTGGGACAGCCCTGCTGCTGATTAAAGCTGTTTAGTGTGCACTGCGCCTGGTCTGGTCTCTCGGGGGGGGTTAGGGGGGGCGTAGGGAGAGCGGGGGGGGGGGTCTTGGGAGTGTTGGAAGAAATGTCCATCTGGGTTCAGTTACAAGTGGGGAAAAAGACACTGGAATATATGGAGACTATTGGGAAAGATGGTTTAATGGTGGACAGGATCACATGGTTTGAGATCCCGGTCAAAAAAGGCACATGGAGTGGGGAGAGAGAGACAGATATTTATACCCTCTGTTGGGATTTGAATTTGAGCTCGTGTTCTGATTGGTGGTCAGACTCCCATGGGACCATGCAGGGGTAACTTGGTAGGTTGTCTGTGTCCTAGGCTTGGTTGACTCCTGCGGGGTGATGATGTAATGAAAGGGCTTGGGGCAATTCCTAGTAGGGCTCTGCCTGAAGGACGTAGATCTTTGTTATGTAGAATAGGCTGGCCCAGGCCTTAATGATCCATTGACAAAGGTGGAGGGGGGGGGCTGATATTCTGCCCCCTTTTTAATATTTCCTAGAATATTTCATTTTTCTAGGAGAGGGGTGGGTGCTAACTTCCTACAAGGGCGTTAGGGAAGAGGGGTAGAAGGCAGTCTGGGGCTCTTAAGGCAAGAGGGGAGCCTGGGGAAAGCAGGGAGATGGACCCAGGGACATAGGGGGGGAGTCTGGAGTCTGGTTTTGCGGGTGCACTCACAAAATGGCCCTGGAGGGTCCAGCCTGGCCTAAACTGATTTTGGTCACTGTTTAACGTGTTTAACCTGTTTAACCTGGAACAAAGTCAAGAGCTCGATTCAATAATTCATGCCATGTTCTTGCATGATTTATGCTGAAATAATTTAGATGTCCTCTGAGTTCCCAGCCCGTAACGGCGCCTCTGTTCTCGTCTGATTACGGTTTCACAAAAACCCTTTTCTTTTTTCTTTTTTCTTTTTTTCAATTTTAAAAACAAACTTTATTAAACATATAAAAGCAAAATAATACACCATGTGTATACAAAACACATATATATCCATATAAACAACACTACATCAAAAGAAAAAGTGACTTTGATCACATATCCGTTCTGTTATTGACGGTGCATTTTTTAAAAAATTTTTGTTATCATTCAGAATTTTGCGTTTGCCCTCATTTCTCCGAGTTACCCAATTGTACTATTTATTCCATACTATACAATATTTTGAGTCTGCCTTCTCTTTCAATTCGAAGGTTAATCCATTTCCACACAATTATAGATTTTTTTGAATTTGTTGGTAGTTGATCAGTTTTCCAAAATTGAGCTAGCGCCAATCTGGCTGCAGTGACTATATGTAGCATTAAATTCTTTCTTTCTTTCTTAGAATTTTCTTTAATCATCCCTAGTAAAAATATTTCTGGTTTAAGTTCTATTTTTTCCGATGTTATTTCTATTAGCCAAATCCTTATTTTTCCCCAATACTTCCAATTTTTTGGGCAAAGCCACCAAACATGGAGAAAAGTGCCCTGTGCCTGCTTGCATTTCCAGCCAGTTCGAATACATTTTCGCTAACCTTGAAGGGGCCAGATACCATCTATATCACATTTTATACTGGTTCTCTTTATAAACTACTGATTTTGTCATAATATAATTATTTTCCCACACTCTTTCCCTGTCCTCCAGTTCTATGTTATGTCCGATGTTTCTTGGCCATGCTATCATTTGTCTCTTTACTAATTCTTCTGCCAAATCAAATTCCAATAAATATTTATAAATGTTTGAAATCAATTTTTCCTCCGTGGCTTCTAAAAGTTTATCCAACGATTTGGTTTTAATTCAATTCCTCCTTCCTCTTGGTCTTTTTTCTATCTTGTTTTTATCTGTAAATAGGGCCACCGGTCAACCTGAATTCCTTGCTCTCCGAGTTCTTCTTGTGTTTTTAATATTCCACACAGAGCTGGCCAGAGACACTCGATCCCTCGTCTCGTGTCTTGTATCGGTTACCCCTTCGATGAGAGAGGCCGCCACGGAGACCGCAGCCTCCCTGGACGGACAGGTAATTCTCGATTTACAACTAGAACGGAGTCCCGAATTTCCACGGCTTGTGACGTTTGTGAAGCCGGTTTTGCCCTCTTTTGCGACCTTCCTTACCGGAGCTTTTAAGTGGGTCACTGCGCTTGTTAAGTCCCCCTGGACTTGGCTCGTCAGAAAGTCGAAAAAGGGGATCCCAGGGTCGCTGCAACCGTCATAAATAGGAGATGATTACTAGGCGTCTGAATTTGGATTGCCGTGGGGAATGCTGCAGTGGTCCTAAGTGTGAAAAAACTGTCACAAGTCACTTTTTTCAGTGCCCTTGTAACTTCAAACGGTCACTAAATGTACTGTCATAAGTCAAGGATTCCCTGGATTCGATTCAGGGAGGGTTGGAGAAGGGATGGCGGATGGCATCAATATTTCTCTGATTTTTATTTTATTTTATTTTACTTTATTTTATTTTATTTTATTATATTATATTATTTTATTTTATTATTTTATTTTATTTTATTTTATTTTATTTTATTTTATTTTATTTCTATACTGCCCTCCTCCCGAAGGACTCAGGGCGGTGTACAGCCTGATTAAAAGCAGATAAAATATTCGGAGACAGGCAGCTTGGAAAATACGGATCTGCCCAACTTGGCAGCACAGAGTGTTACAGGAAAACAAAAAAGGTGCATTTCTCCCATTATGACTTGTGATGTGGAGCGGAGTCACAAAATGTACTTTCTAAAAAAACACACACATACAATTAGCATAAATTTCTTCCCTTTATATTAGTTGCAGGCTGAGAGTGGAAGGAGAGGAGGGAAAGAGCACCTGTGGAAAGGTTCCCCCAGAAAAAGCTGCCGGCTGCTGTATATCTCAGGTTAGTGGCCGATCCGAGGAACCTCCAGCCTCAGCTGCAGTCTACCTCTGAATCCGGAATCTGGAACAATGAGGCTGTTTGCCATGCAAGGGAGACTTTTTTTTTTTTTTTTAGAGTTTCCAGATTATTGTGATGGGGGAAATAAGAATCTGGTTGGGTCTGAATTCCTCTGGGGGAATTCTGGGAGTTGAAGTCCACCCCTCTTAAAGCATTCTGGTTGGGGGATTCTGGGAGTTG